TGCGCTTTTGTTCGCGGCACAGAAGGAAGAAGCTCGGACAGCACGGAGGGGCTGCAGAAAGCAGGTTCTGCGGCGGCCAGCGGTGGCGCTTTTGGTGCCGGCGGAGGCTCTGCGGGTGGCACAGACGGAGGCGGGCAGTCTCTGTTCACCTGCCGCTTTCGTGTTAGCAAAGCTCGCGCGCCCAGCTCCGCGGATGGCGGCCGCTCAAACCTCTCTGGAGAGGGAGATCTCTAGGCTGCGGGTTGCTCTCGCTCGCCGCTAAAGTCTTCTGAGGGTTTGGGCAGAGCTAAAAGAGCACTATGCAGCTCATCTACGGTTTCATCTCTTGGTCCTTTATCTTGTACAACGGAGGAACTTTCGGCATTAAAGTTTCACCTCCCGGTTTCACTGTCCTTAGACTGGCTCCGTTTCAGCGCTTTAAAAAGCACTCCCCAGGTGGCTGCTAGGCTACACACGCTGATATCTCCGTTTATAAATTTTGACCGTAAATGGTTCTCTATCGACAGCCAAAGTTCGAGATTAAAGGCATTGTCCATAGTTATATTAAAACCTTGCTCTTTAACCCACTGGAATAAAGCACGCATGGCATCTTCAGAAACACTGAGTCCCATGCGGGGCAGGGCATCCTGCTATGCAAGGTAGGCAAGCTGTTCATCAGCTGAAGTACAGTCCTTCATTATGAGGACTTTATCTTGGCGGCTCCGCGAATGCAATTATGCACACGCTAACGGCTCGGACCCGGGATTTTGAGCTCTACTTCGCCAAGATATGCCGTTCCAAACCCGCTCACTGGCAGGGCTCCACTATCCCGTTGGTTTCCAGAACCAGCTTCCTCTTGGAAAGCCCGAGAGAATTCCACTTACCCCTCTAGGGGGAAGGGCTGGCTTTTTCCCGCTCGCTGCTTACCCTCAGGGGATTAGCAGATCACGTCAGTTGCCTTCTGACCTCAGGGGTCGGCTGCACTTTATGTCGGGTTACCGGACCTCAGGGGTCGGTTCAGATCACGTCGGGCGGTCACCAGATGTCGCTCCGATTTGGAACGGCGATAAAGAACGACAATGGACTCTCAAGGGAGTCACAACACGAGAATTCCTAGTTTATTGCTTCAGCCCTGTCTTATAGACAGATACGTGGAAAGTACAGAAAGGAAACTCTTATTGGTTAACAAAGTACTACATCACTATCATTGGTC